CCCCCCCCCCCCCCCCCCCCCCCCCCCCCCCGCTGTCCTACACTTATCAAGAAGCCCTAAACCCTAAACCCTAAACTTTAAACCCTAAACCCTAAACCCCATTGAAGTCCTGGTCCCTAAGAAGCAGCATTGAGGACGTGGGTTTTCAAGTCTGAGCCCATGTACTTAGCTCTCGATCCCCAGAGTCTGCTTTTTGTTTTAGGGTTTAAGGTTTAGGGTTTAGGGTTTAGGGTTTAGGGAAAATAACCGTCCACGTTGCTCAGATCGTATTCATAGCTTCCAGCTACCAGCTACCAAAGGAGACTCGTGACCCCCCAAAAAAATAGCCACCGGACTTTGCAGTTTGGGTTTAGGGTTTAGGGTTTAGGGAAAATAACCGTCCACGTTGCTCAGATCGTATTCATAGCTTCCAGCTACCAGCTACCAAAGGAGACTCGTGACCCCCCCAAAAAATAGCCACCGGACTTTGCAGTTTGGGTTTAGGGTTTAGGGTTCAGGATTTAGGGTTTAGGGGGGTTTCGTGGCTTTAAGGATCCGGCTCCAAAACAGATATAAAAGTTTGGTACTCCCGAACCCTTCGTGTAGGTACATTGCAGACCCCCTACGGGACTGCTACTTCAATTCGCAAACTTCTCTACTATAGGCGCCTTAATGATTAGAATAGAGTTCTGGGAGTTCCTTGAGATAGTTATAATATAATATACCCCAAAACCCTACTCAAATTACTAAATGCCCTTATGTTTGAGGGCGCTTGTGCGGTGTCTAAAGTCTAAAATCGGGGGAGCCTGGCTTTGCACTCTGGATCCGAACCACAAGAGGGTTTAGGGTTTAGGGTCTGGATCCGGACCACAAGCACTGCAAGCCCCAAACCCACAGCCCAACATCCACCCTAAACTCGCCTAAGGCCTGTTCCGACACTGTAATGTAGGGGCTTTATAATGATTAGGAATAGGTTTTGGGGGCATATTATACCATTAGCTTTATGTTAAGGAACCCCAAAAATAGTATAGGTAATTATTTAGGCCCCTAGCTTAGATCCTAAGCCCTGACACCGCAACTTCCTTCTCCCCAACCGGCCTGCAAAGCAAACCCTGGCTTGAATCCACCTGGCGGAAAGCATCCACCGGAAGGCCCTTCACCGGGAGGGGTTGGAGGTTTCAGGGTTGGGCTAGGCTGCTGGGATTTTTCAGATCAAGGGTTTTCGGGTTTTTGCTAGCAAAGACAGCGTTCGTGCTCCGGGTATACAGGCGCAGATATGGGACCGCGATGGGCTTGCACTGGACTTCAGGGCTGTCGAGCCATGCGCCGGTGGTGGCATGTGGTGGCAGCGGCGACAGCGGTGGTTGCGACAACGGGCATAGCAGGTATTTGAGGATGATGGGAAAGTGCATGATGATAACGATAATATGATGACTGACCATGTTCATCAGACTCATAATAGACCAAGACTACATACACGCAAGTACAGTGCATGTGTGCAGCCATGCCACCGTGCTTGCCATCATGTGCATTGGCATGGATCAGGGTAAGAACCATCCAGATGACCGTTCACTAGAAGCGTTCACTAGAAGCGAGATCCGCAGTCTAAACTAATCTTCATGCCCCATGAAGATGACTTCGATAGTGGGAACAGTGGGAGCCGCAATGATCATGACAGACATCATCATCATCATCATCATCTTCTTCCTCTTCTTCCTGATCGTTCACGGCCCCTTGCAGATCTCTCTCTGAACCCCTGTGGAACCGACACAGACAGAACCTGGCGTGCACAACCTAAACTCTAATCCCTGAACTCCTGGAACGCAATCGGTCCTCCTATTGTGGAACCCGCGTCGAACCCTTACAATACCTTGAAGTAGCCCCAATAGATGTCTTCAGCAATCAGCGCCCTTGTATACTATGCTATACTAAAATGTATCATAGCATTATTTTCATACACTGTGGTGTACGACAATATACTATGAACTACTCCCTCTCCGGCCAGCCTGCACTCGTTTGCACTGTGCGGTGATTAGCAGGGAGGCACGCTCGGCCACGTCCAGGAGATCGCGAACCTATCTCTCGCAGGGTTTTGGATTTAGGAAACAGGATTAAGCCTGTATGGGTTTTGGGGTTGAGGGGTTTGGACGGTATTGGGGTACGGTTTAATCACAATCTGCATAATTCAGTTGTTCCTTGAAGCTTTCTTCTTTCGCTCGTTCAGGGCGATATAGAGAGAGATGTGTGAGTGCTTTCCGGGGGCCCCTGGTGCAGGATCCACGCAAGGGCGCAAACTGTGTGGCAAACACTTGTAAGGCGCCCTAAACCCTAAACCCTAAACCCTAAACCCTAAACCCTAAACCCGGTAGCACGCAAAGCGAGGACCCTGAAATCCTGAACCTTAAACCCACAACCCTGACTTCCTGACTGTCAAAACCCAAACACGAGTTTCCTTAACGTTCCTGAACCGTAAACCCTAAACCCTGATCCCTATCACCGTGAACACTGATATCTTGAGCCCTGAAACCGACTGCCTTGCTAGTACAATAATGTAGGGGCGTTAATAGCTAGAATAGGGTTTTGGGGTATATTCTTTTATAAAGACAAGGAACCCCAAAAATAGTATATTATTATTCCGAAGGTGCGAAGTCCGTCGCGAACGTACCTCAAGCAAATGAATTCAAACCGTGAAACTGAGCACGAGCGCGGAAAAAAATAGTATAGGTAATTATTAAGGCCTCTATATTAATGTCCCCTAGTAATCCCTGATGGGGACCGGGACTGGCAGGAACCCTTAAATTAAGGGAACCCTTATAATGACTCGACCCCTGAAGGACAACGCCCCAAGTACCCTGCCGCGGCCTCTAAACCCTGAACCCTAATTAAACCCTAAACCCCAGACCCTAAACCCTAAACCCTAAACCAAACCCTAAACTCTTAACCCTAAACGAAACCCTAAACTCTTAACCCTAAACTCAAAAACCCTAAACC